CTTTTAAATCTACTAGAACAACATGTGGCGCTCGGTGAATGGGCTATTCAAATCGATTCCGTCACAGCCCTTCCCACGTTAACCAATCCTTTGTCCTCTTGGCCGCTTCTAAATTTCGTCAGTAAAAGAAAAGTATATCCCATTACCACACAAGAGAAGTTAACCCACGCCAAACCATACAATCGTATATGACGTGTCAATATGTAATAGGACAAAACCCAAATTGGTCAAATAATTCGTTCGTTTGACTTTCAGATGAGCAAATCATACCTATCAACGCCATGCTCATACGTTTTTCTTTGGTTCATATGAGTACACTGTAATAAGGGGCTGGCAAACTGTCGTTTGATTCGGGTAAAACCAAATAAAAACCATTTTCCTTCTACTTAATTCGTTGCCTCTCCTTGTTGTTCTTCTCCCTCGAACCCTCAACGCGTGGAATCTACTACCCATTAAGTAGGGTTGGTTGTTTCGTGTTCCAATCTCTTTGATATTTTCTTTCTAGGTTCGTTGATCTGCCGTTGTTTCCGAGGTGAGTGCCCTCATGAAAGGGGAGTTCCAGGACTGGGAATTGCTGCAGAGTTCGGATTCTGATTTGGTTCCGGTGAGCCCGATTGAGATGAGGAATCTGGAGGGAGTTGAAGGGGAAACGGAAGGTATGATAAGGTCTGATTACTTTTCTCTTGATAATCAGAGTAGATATGCTAAGACTGTTGCTGTGGAGGGTGATGTGAGTGAGGAGGGGTTTGTTGGGTCGGATAATGAGAGTTGGATTGATACTGGGTCGGAGACTAGGCGTGAGAGGAAGAATTCAGGGGAATTTTTGTCTGATTCAGGTAGTGATAGGTCTGATGACCGTAAATTTGGTGACTTTGAGGTGAAAAATCAGAAAGACCAAGTGGGTTTTGAGGGAATTGAGGAAAAGGAAACTAGGAGTGAGAGTTTGGGGAAATTTGAGTTTGATAATGGTAAAAGTAGTGATGTTGATACGAAAAATGAATTGGGTTTTGTTGAAAATGTGAAAAGTAGTGGAGGATCCGGTGAAATTCAAGTTCATGATAAGGATTTGGACAACTGCTGGTCTGATTCTGGTGGGGATGGTTTGGTCTCGATGAAATTTAGAGATGCTGAGAAAGAGAGTGGTATTGATATAGGTGATCTTGCAAACAGAACAGCTGAATTAGAGGGCTCAGGAGAATTTGATGGTGGGAATGACTTGAATGTTGGGATGGAAGAATCTGTAGGGAATTCTGCAATCGTGAATTCAGTTGGTGATGAAGAGAAGAGGAGGGTAGAATGGTGGAAAGTTCCCTTTGAGGTCTTGAAATATTGTCTGTTCAAGGTTAGTCCGTTTTGGTCCATTTCTGCAGCAGCAGCCGCTATAGGTTTTGTTATCTTAGGGCGCAGATTGTACAAGATGAAGCAGAAGAGCAAGAGCTTGCAGCTGAAGGTTACCGTTGATGATAAGGTCAGTTGGCTTATTTTTTTGCTATTTCAATCGCCAAGATTTTGCGTTGTAGTAAATATATTGGAAACCAGTTTGTTAATTGGTACTTCCTGTTCCATGCAATCTATTATTTGATAATTCATGCAGATGTTTTGCTTGACGTTTCCAAATTTTAGTTGGATATCCCTTACTGGTATCACAAGAACGTTTATTTTTAGTTGCATTTTTTTGTTGGTTTGATATTTCTACAACTACAAGCATCTATAATGCGTGCTCCTTGCTGGGATCTTATATATATATATATATATATTCCTGGGCCAATGGTCTAGTTAATGGGTTTTTCTATCCTAAAACATAAGGGCACAAGTCAAGGGATATTTATTGTACCTTTTTTATATTTATTTTGTACTGAAAATGTAAGCATTAACATTGATTTAACCGACAATTCTAAATGAATGTGTAATTGCTCAATATTGATAAAATTAATGTTAGCATCTATACTTTTAATGTAAAATAAACACAAAAACGTGTATTGCATGCTTCTTAACCTTAGTGCATTAGATAGGAAAACCCTTGATTAATATTTTATTGTTTTGAAAAACCAATTCTGACATCAAGATTCTCCCCACCCCACCCTAACTGTTTGACTTTGCTTGATTTACAAACAACTAGACCTTGTGCTTAGTGTTGAGCTTTTATCTTTTACCATTTGTCTTGGAAGATTTCAAGCCGTACTCATTTTATCAAATCTACTTTCATCATTGTTGTTGTTTTTATGTTCAAACACCGGATTTGATTGAGTAAATGGTTCATTGAATATTGAAAATTGCTTTTATGTATTTCAAACCAACACATAGCTTCTTCATCTTCTTTCTTTGCCTTGGCAGAGAAATGTGTAGGTATAATATTGGGCATTCCAATATGGGCTTTTGAGTGACGGATATTCATTTCCCAATGTTGATTGCTTGTCCACATCTATTCTAGTATGCTGTAGAGCTCCCATTCAATGGATATCTGTTATAATCTTTATTTTTATATAATGGCAGTCTTGCTCTGTTACTACATTTTATGTGCAGATTAGCAATAATTTACACTGGAACCTTTCTTCAAGTCTAGTTGATGTTTTAAAGTTTCTTTACAAATGTTTTAATCAGTATAGAGAATTCCTAGCCTACAAGACTACAAAACAAAATTTTAAGTAACTCATTTGAATACATCCATAATCAAATTTCTTCGTAGAGTAGGCTCATTCTTACACCTGCTTCATCAGTTAGTAGAGATTTTCTACACCATCTCAGGGAAAGTATTGTGGTTTCTCAACTTTATGACATATTTCTGATTAACTTTTGCAGAAGGTGTCTCAGTTCATGAATCATGCTGCACGTCTCAACGAAGCATTTTCAGTGGTTAGACGAGGACCCATCACACGACCTGCACTACCTGCAGGTGGGGTGAATGCATGGCCTGTGATGAGTATGATGAGATAAGAATACTGTTGTCAGAAGAAAATTATCAAAGGAACTCTGTTTCTAGAAGGTAAACCCAAATATCTAATATATGCCTTTCTTCGCTATGGATGTTTTTTGTTTCGTCACAATGCATGAACTCTGGCATTGTTAAATGTATAAATTCTAGACATTGATGGCTTTCCCATATTTAACAATCTATTCCCAATAAGGAATAACGTTTATATATGCAAATCCTTGCCATGAGGATTCTAGGTGCAAGGTTTCTGGTTCTTGATTGAATATCTGAGTGGTGGTTTGTTGTC